TTTGGAAAGATGTCTCCTAACTTACTCAGAAGAAGACAGATGAATGCTTCTTGGGAAGAGATTCAGACCCAGTGTAACCAACTATAGGCTACAACAGCAGTTTCTAGCTCCTTGTTAAAAAGAAGGAATAAATGTTGCTGCAAAAGGAACAGAGGAGGGGAGGAGAAGGGAGTGGAGTGGAGGGGAGGAGAAGGGAGTGGAGTGGAGGGGAGGAGAAGGGAGGGGAGTGGAGAGGAGGAGAAGAGAATGGAGTGGAGGGGAGGAGAAGGGAGGGAAGTGGAGAGGAGGAGAGGGAGGAGGGAGGAGAGGAGGAGAAGGGAGGGGAGTGGAGGGGAGGAGAAGGGAGGGGAGTGGAGGGGAGGAGAAGGGAGGGGAGTGGAGGGGAGGAGGAGGGAGGGACATCTGGATTGTTTCCACTTTTTGGCTGTTATCGATAATGCTTCTCTGAACATTTGGGTACAAGTTCCTGCATAAACACGCTTTTAATTCTCTTACATATATACCTGGAGTAGAATAACTGAGTCATGTGGTAACTCTACATTAACCATTCTGAGGAACTGTCAGGCTAGTTTTCAAAGTGGCTGTACCATTCTACCTCCCACCAGCAATGCACCTGACGGCTCCAGTTCTCTGCGTCCTCGACATTTTTGTTTTTAATTTTCGGGTTTATTGAGATATAATTAGCAAATCACAATTATATATATTTAAGTTATACAACTTGATGTTTTATGTATATATACATTATGAAATGATCACCATGATCAAGCTAATTAACATGGTCATCATTTCACATAGCTAGTGATTTCTTCCTTTTTTAATTCTTCACAGTAAGAACACTTAGGGTCTATTCACTTAGCAAATTTCAAATATACAATACGGTATTATTATTATTTTTCTTTTTTGGGGGAGGTTTTTGCTATAGGGTGCATGCGCTTGCCAGACAGACAGAGACAGACAGAGAGACAGAAAGCGAGAAATCACCCCCCAGGGGGGGATGGTCACACCGCAATCCCTTCTCCTCTGTTCTCCTCTAGGGATCTTGGGCACACACGCACACGCGCCCGGCGTGAGTTTTAAGCCACCGGGTCCAGGACGTGAACAGAGGTCGACTATATGGGAGTCCAGTGACATAGCCATTACGCTAACTGCTGGTCTCTGGTATTATTATTTTTAAGAGATTTTTGCTATAGGGCGCGTGCGCTCGCCAGAAAGACAAGAGAGAGACAGAGAGACAGAAAGCGAGAAATCACCCCCCAGGGAAGATGGCTACGCCGCAATTCCTTCTCCCCTCTTCTTCTCTCGGGATCTTGGGCACACACACACACACACACACACACACACACACACACACAACTGGCGTGAGTTTAAGCCACTGGGTCTGGGACTTGAACCGTGGTTGACCAAATGAGAATCTAGCGATACAGCCATTATGCTAACTGCTGGTCCCACAATATGGTATTATTAACAATAGCTGCCATGCTGTACATTAGCTCTCCAGAACTCAACCATCTTGCACAACTGGAACTTTGAACCCTTTAAGCAACATCTTCTGATTTCTCCAGAGCCCTCGCCCTGTTCCCACCTCCGGAAACCACCACTCTGCTCTCCTGCATCTTTTGAGTTCAATGTGTATAAATCCCACTCAGTAATGGCATATAACCTTCTATTATGTTTTACCAGATTGGTTTGCTAATATTTGGTTGATCTTCTGCATCTATGTTCCTAAAGAATACTCGTCTGTAGTTTTCTTGTAACGTTCTTTGTCTGGTTTTTGGTATCAAGATAATAATGAACTTAGAGTAGGCTGAGAAGTATTCCCTTCTTGGGGCTGGCAGGTGGAGTGGTGGTTACAAGTGCTGGACTCCCACATGGCCGACCATGGTCTGAGTCTCGAACCTGGCAGCTTACTTTCTCACTTTCCCCCTCTCTCTCTCCCTCTGTCCCTCTCTGGTCAAATTAAAATAAATAAATATAGTTCAATAAAATAATTATTTTTAAAAAAGAAGTATTCCCTTCTCTTCTGTTTTTGGAGTACTGTGTGAAGGACAGGTGTTAATCCTACTGTAAACATTTGGTAGAGTTCACTAATCAAGCTATTTGGGCTTTTCTTTTTTGTAAGTATATCTTTTTTTTTAAAAGAATTATGTATTTAATTTATTACTATTATTATTTTTTTAACTCACTGTGGGGTACATGTGCTCATCAGAGAGAGAGAGAGAGAGAGAGAAAGCTGCCAGGTCCAGGATTGAACCATAGTCGGTCACTTGGGAGTCCAGCGCCCTAACCACCACACCATGTGCTGGCCCTCTAGGTAGATTTTTGATTAGTTATCCAGTTTCTTTTTTTGAGGTAGATCTATTCAGAGTTTCTATATGAGTTAGTTAGGTAGTTTGTAACTTTATAGGTATTTCATTTAGGATAACTAATTTGTTGTCATATAATTGTTAATAACAATCCCTTATAATCTTTTTATGTTTATAAGGTCAGTAGTAATATCCCCATTTTCACTCCCAAATTTAATAATAATTTTATAAAATTATTTAATTAGGGGCCAGCAGGTGGCATGGTGGTTAAGACGCTGACTCCCACATAGCCAACCGTGATTCGAGGCCTGGACCTGGTGGCTTACTTTCTCACTTGCATTCTCTCTCTCTTTCTCTGGTAAAGATTTAAAAATAATGACAGATAAAATAAAATAAATAATTCGTTTAAAAAATTTGTTTAATTTTTAATTTGGTAGGCTGTTCTTTCAAGAATTAAATTTTTGTCTTTTTTTTCTTGGTCAATCGAAAGTTATTTCAATTTTGTTGTTTTTTTTCCCAAAAAATAAATAATAAAAAACTTTTAGGTGGCATAGTGGTTATGTCACTGAATTCCCACATGGCCAACCACAGTTCAAGTCTCAGGCTTGGCTTGAAAATCATGTTGGGCATGTGTGCGTGCATACCCAAGATCCAAGGAGGAGAATAGTGGAGAAGGGATTGCAGTGCGGCCACCCCGTGGGGGGTGATTTCTCACTTTCCCTCTCTTTGTCACCGTCTCTCTCCAGCCGTCTCTCTCTAGTGAGAGTGCATGTGACCTATGGCAAAAATGTCTTTAAAAAAAAAACCTTTTAGTTCTATTGTCTTTTTCTATTCTCTATTTCATTCATTTCTGCTCTAATCTTTATTCTGTCCCTACTTCTGATTATTTTGAATTTAGTTTGCTTTCCATTCTAAATTTCGAACATTGCAAAGTTCAGTTATTGATATGCTTTTTTTTTTCATTTATTTATTGGGTTGTTGGAAAGGTCATAATGTATTTTTGCATAGAAAAATACATCATGACTTTTATGACAACCCAGCATTTTATTTTATTTTTAATATGATAGGGTGGGTTCAGATGCCTGCCAGAGAGACAGAGATAGATAGAGAGAGAAGGTGAAAAAGCATCCCCTCAGGGGGTAACCACACCACACCATTCTCCTCTGGGATTGGGCACACATGCACAGATGCCCACTGTGTTTTCCAAGCAGCTGGGTCGAGGACTCAAACTGCATACCTGGCTGTGTGGGATACAACACTTACGCACCACATCACCTGGCCGGCCTCACCCTTCTTTTTTTCACATATATATTTATGGTTATAAATTTCCTCTAAATACTACTTTGGCTATATCCTATAAGTTTTAGGGTTTTTTTTTCTTTTTTCATTTAACTCAAAGTATTTTCTAATTTCCGTTGTGATTTCTTCTTTTAACCATTCATTATTTTTTTAAAAAATATTTGATTTAACTTTATTCATTTATTTATTTTAATTTGACTAGATGGGGGCAGGGAGAGAGAGAAAGGGAGAGAGCAAGCGATCAGGTTTGCGACTTGAACCACAGTTGACCATGTGGGAGTCTGGCACCCTTAACCACCATGCCACCTGCCGTCCTCCACCCATTGGTTATTTTGGAAAGTTCTGTTTAATTTCCACTTTTTCCGTGTGTTTTTTATCAATGTCCTTCCATTAGTCATTTCTAATTTCATTCTACTGTGGTCAGAGAACATACTATTATTTCAATTCTTTTAAGTGTACTGAAGTTTGTTTTATGACCTAGCATACAGTTTATTCTACAGAATGTTCCATGTGCACATGAGAAAGATATGTATGTTCTCCTGTTGTTGAGTAGAGAGTCCCATAAATGTCTTTTAACTCTGGTTACTTTATAGTGTTGTTCTAGTCTTCTGTTTTCTCATTGATCTTCCATCTATGTATAGGACATAGAAATCTCCAGCAGTTATTGTTGAATTATCTATTTCTCCCTTCAATTCTGTCAGTTTTTGCTTCACACATTTTAGGACTCTACTATTAGATGCATTCATGTTTATGATTGTTATGAAGTCCAGATCAATACATGCTTAATTATAAAATACTCTCCCTTTTTCCATTCATTTTTGTCTTAAACTTCGTGTCTAATATTACTCTAGTTACTTCTGTTTTTTTTTATCAGAGTTTGTATTTTCCTTCATCTTACTTCCAAATTATTTATGCCTTCGAATCTATTTTGTCTTTTATATACAGCATACAGTTGAAACAAGTATTTCTTTCATTCTGCAAATCACTGCCTTTGGATGGAGTGTTTAATCCACTTACATTTAATGATCTATGTAATTTCTGCCATTTTGCTACCTATTTTCTATGTATCTTAGATTTTTTGTCCTAATTTTATTTCTCCAATACTTCCTTCTTATGTGCTAAAGAGATATTTTCTAGTGTATTATTTTAAATCCTTTTATATTCCTTTTACTATATTTCCAAGTTATTTTCTTGGTGGTTACCTTGGGAATTATAATTATGATGTAATTTGTGACTATGAATCTTCTTTTGCTTGAAGTTTCTTCTGGGAATTTGGATAGTCTAGTCAAAACTAAGTTTAGAAAAATTAAAAGTGCTCTTCAATCCACGAATATTGTTTAGGTACATAATAGGGAGTTCTTGTCAAAATAAGAACCTGCCTCCTGTATGAATACTTACCTTATCTAATAATACGTTCTGCCACAATCTAAAGATACTGAGGTAACTTCTATCCCTGGCACCAAAAGATGTAAAGAAAAACTGCAAGAAAAAAATAATACAATTTTAGCATCATGGAAAATAATGGAAAAGTACCTAACATGAGGTCTACAAGGACTTCCTATGCACAAAGCAAACTGATAGGTCACCACCACCTATGTTATACGCTATTTTAATTTAACCTCTTGTTTTAATAGAAGGGAAACAAAACAGATAATGGTTGTATGGACAAGGTATGTTTGCAAATCATGTCTTACAGCAAATAGTATCTTACAATAAAACAATTCTGTCAGTGTTGACTGAGAAAAGGGGCTTGGAATAGGTAGCTATTTATATTCATCATAGCATAATAATTAAAATAAATCTTAATAAAGTTATAAAAATAAAAATTTTATTTTATTATGAGCTTTGCAGAGATATGAAGTGGTTGCCACTTGAGTCACATACACACAAACAATAAGAAAAAAAACACAGTAGATTTCGAGATGTATTTTAAGGACCTTAGTTTTAAATTGTCATCTTTCAAAGTCTTCTAAATTTTCAGAAATACTCTCTGAAAACTTATAGATATAAAATACCCATGTTAACATTGATCTTCTCTTTGAATGTCATAGAAATAGCATGTTTCAATTTGTGATTTCATTTGCTTTCAGTCTTCTATCTTTCTATGCACTTCATTGATTTTTGCAAAGTCATATTTTAAAATAGGTTTTTATGAGAAAATGTGACAAGCAGCAGCACTAAATACAATCTCTCTGTGTGTCATCTCTTCCCCTAGTTAATGACCTTTCCTGACTGAGTGGTTATCTTTGGGAAAGAGAAAGTTCAGTTCTCTGCTTGAGTGATTAAGTAAAATGTCAAACAAATAATATTCTGAATGTTAACACTTTCATAGGAAGATTATAAAGTGCTGTTTTCCAATTTATTACACTGAAACTTTTCTATTGGGCTGTCAGAAAATTCAGGACGTATTTTTCCATGCAAAAATGCATCCTGACTTTTCTGATGACCTACTATATATCCTTCATAAAGTAAAACTTTGTCAAGAGGCTACATCCAGGAGCTCTTCCAAGCGGAACAAAAAACCATACGTAATATGTGACCCAATGATCACTGCTTGCCATACCCGATTCCCTTCGCTTAGGCCAAATCGTTTTGCCTAATTGCAATAATTTTATAACCCTGTGTGCAGACATGTAGATTAGAAAAATCTCTTAGTCTGTTTTCTTTTCACCACTGCATTACACTTGCTAATTCCTACTTCTTAAACAAAATACCTTCTTACTAACTTGACTCACTCTTGTACAAAACTACCATATTTCCAAATCCTTAAAACTTAGCTTTCTGGGGCCAGAAGATGGCAGGGTAGTTACATCATTGGACTCCCACAAAGCTAACGATAGTTTGAGTCCTGAACCTGATGGCTTTGAAATTCACACCAGGCTTGTGTGCACGCATGCCCAAGATCTTGGAAGGAAAATAGAGGAGGACGGATTACAGAGTGGCCATCCCCTTGGGGGCTATTTATTCACTTTGCCTCTCACTGTCTCTCTCTCTCCAGCAAGTACACATGTGCTAAGATAAAACCTCTTAAAAAAAAAAAATTCCAGCTTTCTGAAAAATCTACATGAACTCCTCCCTCTCTTTACTCCTTGCTAGATATCCAACTTTAAAAACACATTAATAAATCTTGGTTTCATAATTAACTTTTTAATTTGGAAAGGGTTCTGGATAATGATATCTCTAAGCTGCTGGAGCACAGAACATATTCTGACATCTGAAACAACTAAAAAAGTACTATGAACAGCCTTCTTTTTGTCATAGAGGATATAAAAGAGAAATACTTAGTAGTACAGTTTTCCCCCATGATGATGGAAAAAGAGATCATTGAGCTAACGTAGTGAAGAAATTAAGACCAGAGTCTCCATAATTAAACTCACAGAGATTTATCACTTACTTAGTTGTGACTGTGAGTAGCTTCTGTTTTCTTTAGTTTCCTTATATGCAAAATGAGAGTAAGTATCATGGTAGACATTTGCAAGAATTAAGTGAGAAAATATATGTAAGGAGTTTAAAAGGGTCTAGAATGCAGCAAGAGGTCAGTAAATGCTAGCTGCTCATGGATTGAAAAATCTATTTATGTATTGCACTAGTGAGTACAATTACTATATGTCAATTACTATTTTAATTTTAAAATGCTAGTTATTATCCTTATTAAGGTGCAAGCCAGCCTCATGGCCTAGTGGGTAAGGGAACCAGATGCCACTTAGCTGACTTTGGTTTGAAACCCAGCCCTGGTGACTTGAAAAACATTCTGGGCATGTGTGCGTGCAGCCCAAAGCCCTGCCAGGATGGAGAAATGAGGAGAAAGGATTGCAGTGTGGCCACACCCATGGGGGAACGCTTTCTCTCTCTCTGTCCCTGTCTCTCTCTGGCAAATGCACATGCCCTCTGGCGATTTTAAAAATTTTTATTTAAATGCTTGACCTGGAAATTCCGGTATGTATGTGGGAAAAGGTCACACATGAGCTTAAGAAGGCATGGTCAGGTGGTTCACAGAAGTATCATTTGCAATAGCAAAACACTAGAAAAGAACTAATGGCCATGGAAACTATCATACATCCCTTCTATAAAATATTATAGAGTATTTTTAAGAATTATTTACTTAATTTATTATTATTATTTCTTTTTAATTCATGGAGAGAGAGAGAAAGACAAAGAGAGAGAGAGGGAAAGTGAAAAAGCAGGCCACCAGATCTGGGACTCGAACTACAGCTGACATGTGGGAGTCCAGTGCCATAACCACCACGCCACTTGCTGGCTCCTAGAACACCTGAAAAAAAACAGAAATAGACCTATCTACATGTACTGATATCCATCCAAGTTCAAGATATTTAAAACAAAACAAAACAAAACAAAAAGATCACTCATAAACAACACATGTAAGATGGTATCTACTTTTTTTTTTGAGAGAGGTTTTTGCTATAGGGCCCGTGCGCTCGCCAGAAAGACAGAGAGAGACAGAGAGACAGAAAGCGAGAAATCACCCCCCAGGGGGGATGGCCACACCACAATCTCTTCTCCTTCATTCTCTTCTCAGGATCTTGGGCCCACACGCACACGTGCCCAGCGTGAGTTTAAGCGACCGGGTCTGAGACTCGACCCGCGTTCAACTACATGGGAGTCCAGCAACATAGCCATTACGCCAACTGCTAGTCCTGGTATCTACTTTTTTTTAAAAAAAAAAAGAGCAAAACTAAATGTTTATGTGTATGCAGACATGTATGTACATATAAAGGAAGAAGCCTGAAAGATCTGAAAAGACACATAACAACTGACAATAGCACTGACCTCAAAGGTATTATTGGGGATTTTAAGCATAGGAGAAAGATGATAATTTTTAAATTATTTGATGAGTTTGCTAAATAATGAAAATAGAGACTAGCAGGTGGCATGCTGTTTAAGGCACTAGACTCCTACATGGCTAACTGTAGTTCAAGTCCCAGACCTGGTGGCTTGCTTTCTTAATCTTGCTCTCTCTCTCTTTGGTGAGCACACATGCCACATAGGAAATTTAAAATAATAATAATAGTAAACACAATTAAATTAAATGAATAATTTCTTTAAAAAGAAATTCATATATGCATGTATAAATTATAAAATTAAGACTAAGCTCCGCCTGTGGCGCTCCGTTTCTTCCGCGTGGTCGCTGCCGCTGTGCTGACTGTGCTCTGCCAGACACGGTGTCTGTGAGGGTTTTTCAAAAGTCTTACACGTGGCTATGAAGTTGTATTGATTGTTTCTGAAATGTATTTAAGACTTTCTGTCTCGAGAAGAAACCGGGCCTTCAGAAGGTTCCACATGGCTCTAGCGAACTAGATTTTTCAGGGAATGAAGATTTTCTACTGATAATTCAGCCTCCAACAAACGAGCTAGCGCGATCACAACAGAATGGCAAAGAGATTCTAGATCACCTCTGTCTGCTTGCTCCTGAACATTCAGGGTGAATTTCAAGGATTTGAAAGAAACACACCATCCATCAGATGACAAGAAATCACCACCGGATCATGAGAAATATGGGAAAACAAGAAAATACCTCTCCTCCAACAGCCAAGGGAAAAGAATAACTCTTCTTCATCCACAAGCAGTTCGGTGAAAATCATGGAAATGTCTGAGGAGGAATTTAGAGCATTCATAATGTCGAAGCTAACAGAGATGAGAAGAGAGATAATGAACTGCTAAAGAGAAAGGAGAAAGAAGTTGATGAGTTCCAGGAGATGAGGAAATTCTTGCAAGATCTAAAGGAGGAATTACACACTTTACAAAAGACTCAAACAGAACTGCTAGAGAGGAAGTCTATAATACAAGAAGTCAAAATCTCCCTTGAAAGTATTAAAAGCAGACTAG